TAAAACAATTTACCACAACAGACCAGACATCACACTCATTGACAAACACAATAAAATCACATACATTACGGACATATCCATTCCAAACACTCACAATATACAAAATACATTCACTGAAAAAATTAGCAAGTACTCAGAACTTGCCCAGGAAATAAGGCATCTGTGGAGGATGGAAAGCATGCTTATTGTACCTGTCGTTCTCTCCTGTACAGGTGTGATACCACACACACTACACAAAAGCCTGGGAACATTACAATTGAGTAGAAATACATACATCACACTACAGAAGGCCACTATATTGAATACATGTCATATTGTTAGGAAATTCCTGAATATAGACATACACACTGACACACTTATTTAGTTTTTGTCTTATTTTGGTTACTGTGCCTTGACTCTGGTCCAGTATAGTACACAGCAACCAGTGTCAATCAAGTATAACTCACTAAACTCAACATAATAATTATTAAAATTCCAAAGATTTAACATTGGTTCACAAGAAATTTATTTTTAGAAAGATAAAATTTTAACAGAAATTTTTCAGACAACATTGAACTACTTCAGTTTAATTGAATATGACCATGAAAAAGATGTGTAATACTGAACACTTAATATTTATTGTAATATCTGTGATGAAACTAAGGTTAATTTTTGAAATAAAGGAACATGACTGATTTATTCAAATAATATTAATCAAGAAAATGTATTTCTGTATATGCATCATAAATAATAACAAGCAATTATTTATTAAAATTAATTTGAAGACAGTCTGTCCAAAACTGGTAACCAACATTTATTCACTTCTAGTGTTCCAGAATACAAACATTTGATGACCTGACCTTCCTTTTTAGGCTGCTTGGCCGTGAAATTTAAAAAACATCCTTTAAAAGAACAGAAAAATATCAAATTAAAATTACAAATTTAGAATTGGTACTGGCAGATCATACAGACATCATTTTCTTTTCCATCCTTACCAATCTGTAATGATGCCAGGCTGCAATTTTTAATCATATTTTTAATTTATTTAATTTAAAATATATGCTCTCCACTTCAAATTAGTAGTAGCTTACCCTGCTTTTCTTTTAACAATAGAATCATCCCAGTCATTTATCTAACACCTTTCAGGGGAAAATTTTTGAATTGAAATAACATATCAGAAGTACGTATATATTGGAGCCTCCTGCCCCTACAGTTTCCATATCTGGTCTTATCTTTCATCTATTTAACTCCATTCTTGAGATTAAGAAAAGACAGATGGATGATAGTGGGAATTTAGTCTACTATTTTTTCAATATGCAGCCCAAAAATTTGTAGAGAATATTTTATATTATTTATATATTAAAATTAATTAAGTTTTATAAAATTAAAATAACTTGATATCATTTTAGCATTTTCAGATATGAAGAGGTCCATCTTTCTAGAGGCAAAAGAGATCTTACCAAGTTGCACAAATATATGCATGTGCAATTTGCTTGTTTCAGCACTAAAATAATCAAAGGAAATCAATTTAAGATAATTTAAAATAACATACAAATAATCGATAACTGTAAAGATAAATATAACACTGCAGAAAAAATTGATACAAAAAGTGAGCTTTACTTCATTAGAGAACATATTCAAAATGACTGCCTTCAGTGATAATACAAAGATGTAAATACCAGTTTACATGGTGCTGCTAGTTATGCATCATACACTGATGTTTTTAAGTGACATTCCCCAGACTTGACTCCTCTAGTCAAGTATATGGAATATTCATCATCTATATTTCATGAATGCTTTGATTTAACAACTTTCTGTAAACAATTGATAATCAACAATATTCTTCTTCTTCTTCTTATCTGTTTAGTCGTGTCCAACTCTTGGTCACTCTATGGCTCAAAGCTCACCATGCCTCTCTATCCTCAGCTTTCTTCAATTCCGTTATAGATAATTCAGTGTCACTTTTGATTGTATCGAGCCAACGTGTCCTTGGTCAGCCTCATGCTCTTTTCCCACTAACCATCCCCAGCACAATCGCCTTCTCAAGGGAGCTGGTTCTCATTATATGACCAAAAAAGGACAGTTTCTGTTTGGTTATCTGTGCTTCCAGTGAGATTTTTGGTGGGACTCTGTCTAAGGCAGTTTTGTTGTTGATCCGCACTGTCCATAGAATGCAGAAAAGCCATCTCCAACGTCACAGTTCAAACACATCTTCCTTTTGTCCATTTTCTTTAGATTCCAAGTTTCACATCTGTATATGACAATAGGAAAAATAATTGTGCTAACTAATTGCATTTAATTTGGAGGCAGATGTCTTTGCTCTTTCAAAAGTTGTTCATGATGATCATTGAGGTTTGTCCAAGGGCTATGCGTCTTCTGATTTCAGGATTGCAATCTCCATTTCGGTTGACTTTGGACCCAAGGAATATGAAACCTTCCACTATCTCAATTTCTTCACCGTTAATCACAATTTTGACTTCTGTATTCTGTGCAGTAGTCATTATTTTGGTCTTCTTGAAGTTAAGAAGCAGCTCTACCTTTGCACTTTTGTGCTTGACTCTCAAAAGCAGCCGCTCAAGATCTTGCTGACTTTCCACAAGCTGTGTGGTATCATCCACGTATTGGAGATTATTGATGTTCCTGCCTCCAATTTTCA